AAAGTCCTCGCCTTGAACGTGCCAGGATCCCATATGAGCGCTGGTTCTAATCCCAGCAGCTCCACTTCCCATTCAGCTCCATGCCTGTGGCCTGGGAAAGCAGTCGAGGACGGCCCAAAGCTTTGGGACCCTGCACCCATGTGGGAGACCCAGAAGAAGTTCTGGCTCCTGGCTTCGGATCAGCATAACATTGGCCGTTGCACTCACTTGGGGAATGAATCATCGGACGGAAGATCTTCCTCTCTGTCTCTCCTCCTCTCTGTATATCTGACTTTGTAATAAAAATAAATAAATCTTTTAAAAAAATTAAAAAAATAAATCTTTAAAAATAAATAAATAGGGTGGGTCTCAGGACGGGGCGTCTCATGCCTGGATCCCGGACAGCCGCCATGGGCACAGCCGCCATGTGCTGAGCTGTCCCCGGGCCTGCTGGGTTCCCGGGGCCGCTTCCTTCGGGGTGAGTAGACCGAGGGGGAGGCCTCTGGGACTGGGCAGGCCCAGGACCCACCTGCCGCCCTCTTGGGGCGGTGAATGGGATTTGGGAGGGGCGCGACCTTGGGCCTGGGTTCTTTAAACCTCCAGCAGCCTCCTGGCAGCTGGTGGGTCTCAGGACGGGGCGTCGCATGCCTGGATCCCGGACAGCCACCATGGGCACAGCTGCCATGTGCTGAGCTGTCCCCGGGCGGCCAGTGCGCCATTTGGTGCCAGGCTCTGCATGCTGGCCTCCCGGCCGGGGAGCTCTGAGGATTTGGTTCTTTGAGTTGCTGCTTAATTAGCTCCAGGTTTAACCCATTGTGCTTCTTGGACCTGAAACAGGCAGTAACTCTTCCTTAGCAAAACTTTTAATCACTAATAATTCTGAGCACCAAATACCAGTCATGCAGAAGCTAGGGCTTGGGGCTTGTCCTGCAAAAGTAGTTCCAACAGTTGGCCAATGTGTCAACTGGTAATGGAACAGAGTAGATTAGGCACGACTGAACAAACCTTAGCCCACAAGTAAAACTAGAAACCAGGAGGGAGCAGAGGTCATGCCGAGCTAGGCTCTTGTACCTGCTGGTCTGTGGGAGCCAGGGACGCTAAGCCACAATGTCTAAGGCAGAGTTCGGGACAGGTGAGGAGCTGTGCCAAGCTGAGTCAGAGCATCCATTGGCAGGCAAGTGATCTATGGCTGGGAACAGACCCGGTTGGGGAGCAAAGGGGACAACCCTAGCTGGGCTGAGGTTCCCACCAAGAGGCACATGGCCTGGAAGGGGAGCTGCGTTCTGATCTGGAAACAGTTGTAGTCTCCCTTGGCACAAGTGTGGACTGGGATAGGATGCACTGAACTGGGCCGGACCCCGACTCCCCCTGGTGTTCTGGAGGACCAGGGCAGATGTGGGATGGACTAGGCTAGGTCTCAAACCCCTACTGAGCCATGTATGAGCCATATGTGGGTATGGACAAACCATGGCTGGGCTGAAACATCCAACAGCAAGAACCAGATTGGGTGGAAGGCCAGTCAGGAAAAGCCACAGTTCCTGTTATTACAGGAGGTGGACTGAGTAGGGTTGGCTCATGGACCCACTGGTAAGCGTGAAACCTGGCATTGGGAGAGGTTCTGATGGAGGAGCCTGGGCAACTCCTCTGGCAGGCCACAGACCCGGCAGGTAAACGCAAGAAACATGATAGGAAACAGCCCAGAAAAGGCCATGGAAAACTACCCACTGGCATACAATTGGCTGACGTGGGGGCAAGACCAGGCTGAATCTGTCCACGTCATCCACTGGCAAATCCAGGCACCAGTGTGGGTCGACCTAGGGTCGGTCGCAACAAAGACTAGTGCACATTATGGAATGCCGAGGTGCGGTTGCCTGTACCGGAAGGGACCGCAGCGCCCTACCAGCCTGAGAACAAGAAAGGAAGTGGGCAGAGCTGGCAGGGGAATAAGGGAGGGTTCCTTTGCAGGACAGCTACTTCCGCAGGCGAGCATGGGCTGGGATGGGGGCAGACCAGACTAGGCAGAGCTACCACACCTGTGCGCCTCACGCAGACTAGATCAGGGAAAAACCGGGCTGGGCGGATTATTCCTACTGGTGCAAACAAAATTAAAGTGGGCGAGGGTTGTTTGGGCTTAGACTCAGCATCAGCTGGAATCTGGGAGTGGGAGAGGCCTGGGAGGGTAATAGTGGGCTCATCCCTCTTGGGTTACCACTTCCACAGGAGGACATAAAACTAAGATAGTGGCTGGGGTGGAATGGGGTGTGGGACAGACTGGATTACTGCTACACTTACTGGCAAACCAGGGTAGGGGGTGGGCCTGGTGGGGGTTATTGTGGGTCGCTCCAACCTAGGCTGCAGCTCCCGCTGGTTTATGTGAGGACCAAGTGTGTGCTGGGCAGAACTAGGCTGGACTGCAACACCCATTGGTTCCAGTGGAAGTCGGGAGTGAAAACAGAACCAACCCAGCAACTGCAACCACCAGCTGATTGGAGCGATGGACGGTGCCAGGCCCTGTACTTGTTAGCTCATACAAGAAGTTTCTTTGGAGATCTTCCTAATCTACATGCTGGACTCAGAACCCTAACGAAGAAAAGAGAGGACAGAACAGTTCAACCAACCATCTAAGCTATGATGGACTATGTCAATCAGTGGATTTTTCAAAGCCCTCATAGTGCTTGGAGTGGCAAGATTGACAGCGATTCATAACTGTTGCAATATCAAAACCACTTGAGCAAGAACCTCAGAGCATGCCCTACATCCGGGACCTGGGGAGGGTGGGAAATTGGGTGGGCCTTCTCCCTTAAATACCCCCCTTTAAACATGAAGGTAACAATATGGAAAACATACTAGTATTATCCACTTTCATGTAGCCCTTGAACTTTCTTACCCTAATTAACTATGTAAAGAATGTCAAAATAAAATTTTATAAAAATTAAAAAAACAAAACAAAACAAAGGATATGTACATATGGGAAACTTGTCTATAGCAAACTAAGTGGGGTGAGAAGGGGGGAGTCAGAAAGCCTGAAGATTTTGAATTTTTCTTTTGAAAAAGCTTTGTATAATTCCAAATCTGTGTGCCTGTAAACACTACTCAATTTTCAATGAATATTGATTGTGTTTCTAATGGAATCTGAAAGGATCTGACATAGTTCAAATGTGTTTAAATGTGTTTTTATTGAAAAAAAAAATAAATTTATATCCAGAATCTCAATGTCAACAAGCAACTAAAAATACAATTATACTGCATACATTGTGTTGTGATCGTTTAAACGGGTACTGTGCATAATGATGGATAACAATAATGAATTGGCAGTTCCAGTCCAGGTTGTGTCTCAGAGAGCAGTAGAAGGCAGTGGGAAATGACCCGGGTGTTAGAGACGTGTCGAGCGGAGGGAGATGACGGAGTTCTGGGCTCCTGTCTTGGCCGAACCCAAGTTGTGTCCATTTGGAGAGTAATCACCAAGTGAGAAATTTTCTCTCTCTCTCCTGTTACTCTGTCTACAAAATAAATAAATGAATCTTCTAAAGACAAGTGTGGGGCCCGGCGTGATAGCGTAGTGGTTAAAGTCCTCGCCTTGCATGCACCGGAATCCCATATGGTCACCAGTTCTAATTCCGGCAGCCATGCCTGTCATTCAGCTCCCTGCTCGTGGCCTGGGACAGCAGTTGAGGACAGCCCAAGTCCTTGGGATCCTGCACTCTCATGGGAGATCTGGAAGAGCTCCAGGCTTTGGATTGGCTCAGCTTCAGCCGTTGCGGTGCCGTTAGACGGAAGATCTTCCTCTCTGTCTCTCCTCTCTGTATGTCCACCTTTCCAATAAAAATAAATAAATCCTTAAAAAATAAACAAATAAATAAAGACAAGTGTGGAGATACAGCAGCCTTTGCATCAGGAACATCAGTGAGGGAAAAGAGCACAGGTCAGTATGGGGAGAGGTCTTGATACTCAGGGGTTATGACCAGATTCAGCAAATCTGTGTAGCCCAGACAGGTTCCCCTCTGTCTTATCCCCTTGCTCACTTCAAGCCCTCCAGAAGCCATGAGAGACTTGAGTCCTGGCACTATTGCTGTCTGGGTAGACTAAATCAGGCCCTGGTCAGAGGTGACAGGACATACAGGATGGGTAGACGGCCATCCTCATGGACTTCCACCCACACTGTCACTGTGTCTCAGGAAACCCCACCTCTGCCATCCTTACCTGAAGCCTGAGCACAGACCCTTCTGCATTCACCTGTGAGAATATGCTCTGTGAGAGGTGAGACAGAAGGCAAGATGATGGTATCTGAGAGCAGGGATGGGAAATCTTCCCTCCACCAAGAGCCATTTAGATATTTGTAATGTTATTCACAAGCCACAAAAAAGTATCTATGCAAAAACAGTCCTCCTGGACACAACACAATGGCTCAATGGCTAAATTCTCTACTTGCACGCACCAGATCCAATATGGGTACTGGTTTGTGTCCTGGCTGCTCCACTTCTCATCCAGCTCCCTACCTGTAGCATGGGAAAGCAGTGGAGGATGTGGACCATCAAGACCCTCCACCCACATGAAAGACATATAAGAAACTTAGGCTCCTGGTTTCAGATCAGATCAGATCTGGCCATTTCAGCCATCTGCGGAGTGAATCAAGAGGTGGAAGATCTTTCTCTCTATATCTCCTTCTCTCTGAAAATCTGTTTTTCATAAATAAACAAATAAATAAATAGCCCATTATATGTGTATTAAATTTAACTTTTTAAATTAATGTTATTATTACTTTTTATTGTAACGTCAAATTTACAGAGAGGAGAGAAAGAGAGCAAAGATCTTCCATTTGCCTATCCACTCCTCAAGTGGCCACAATGGTTGGTGCTGAATCAACCTGAAGCCAGGAGCCAGGAGCTCCTTCCAGGTATTCCATGGGGGTCACAGTCTCAAGGCTCTTTGCCATCCTCAACTGCTTTCCCAGGCCACAAGCAGGTAGCTGGATGGGAAGCGGAACAGTTGGGATGTGAACCAGTGCCACAAGGGATCCTGGCGCATGCAAGGGGAGGCCTTTAGCCACTAGGCTACCATACCGTGCCTCGGCGTATTGAATTTCAGGTCCTACCTGTGTTGCCTTGACAGGGCAAGACCATGTTCCCAACTGCTTTTCTAGACAAACCCTCTAGACCTGGACCCAAGGGAAGTTTCCAGAACTCTGACTGGAGACTCAAGGACACATGAGGAAAGGAGATGTGTGGAAAGAGGACCAAGTGCCTCCTGGAGATCTGTCCTTGGGCAGGGCCCTCCTCTCGCCTGGCTGCTGGGATCCAGGTCTCTATCATCAGAATCACCAGCCTGCCATGCCAGTCCCTCCTGGCCATGTGCTCTAGAGTTAGTGATCAAACATGGGGCCCACACTGGGTAGGCACATGTGTGTGGATAGTACCTCATAGCGACAAGGCAAGAGACCAGCAAATCTCCACCTGGGGCTTAAAACTCTCCAGTGGGAAAAGAAAATGTGTAGCCACCCTTTACCCCTTACCCCTGCCCTACCTGAGCGCTTCCTCTTCATCATCACAGCAGTGACCCCAGCTCCAATGAGCACAGCTGCCAGGAGGACTGCAATGATGACTCCCCACATGAGCACAGTGGGCCAAAGAGGCTCTGAGAGGGGAAGGGACAATAAGGGGCTCTGACCACAGGGCTTAGCCCTGACCCTGCTGAAGGCTCTGTCCACTCTGCCCTCCTTACCCCATCTCAGGGTGAGGGGCTCAGGCAGTCCCTCATGCTCCACGTGGCATGTGTATCTCTGCTCCTCTCCAGCAGGCACCAGCACAGCTGCCCACTTCTGGAAGGTTCCATCCCCTGCAGGTCTGGTCTCTATCAGGTCTGTGTCCTGGGTCAGGTCCTCCCCATCTCGGTGCCAGGTGAGTGTGATGTCCTTGGGGTAGAAGCCGAGGGCCCAGCACCTCAGGGTGGCCTTCTGGTCAGAGACTGGGTGGTGGGTCACATGAGCTGTGGGAGGGGCTGAAAGGAAGAATAAGAAACTCCAATGGGGCTCGTGTGGCCCTCTGGATTATGGATATGGTGATTGACTGGGGAGGGGGGAGATGTAAAACACAGACAGCAACCTGGTCTCTAAGATCCGGGATTATCTGTTAGTTCTTGAAAAGTTCAAGAAGCAGCAGTCAGTGTAAGAGGTTCCAGATCGCTGAGAGAGACTGTTTGGGAGGGATAAGGCTGGTGGGAAAATACTGTTTGGCGGGGGAGGGAAGGTGGCCCAATTGGAAGCTGAGACCAGGACAAGATGGGTTCAGATCGCCACTCTTTGAAGGCAAAAGAAAAACCGTGAGAGAACTTGGCCTTATGACGCCAAGCCTGCTGTCGGGGGTCCAAGGGAACTCCCAACAGTTTCAGTACTGTTTTCTCTTCGGACTCTGAAGAGTCTGAGTCGCATGACTGTCCTGAGAAACGTGGGGCACAGGCCCATGAGAAGGAGGGGCACTCAGAATGGCTCTCTGGCACAGGATGTGGACATTTCCGGTCAAGGCAAGAGTGGTGTTCTTCCGGCACTGGCTCCCGTTTTCCTCCCCTCTCTGTGGAGGGGGTATGTGTGTTGGGGGTGAATACAGGAGATGAAGGAGGTGCCCCCACTCACATCGGTGCTTCGCCGTGCCGTTCTTCAGGAACTTGTTCAGATTGTCCACACACTTCCCCTGCAGGTAGGCTTTGTAAGGCTCAGGCACACGTGCAGCCTCCCATTTGCGCTTGGTGATCTGAGCCTCCTCTGCATTGGCCGCGGTCCAGGAGCTCAGGTTCTCGTTGAGGGAGATGAGGTCAGCACCATCGTAGCCAATCTGCCAGTGTCCGTGGAGGAAGCGCCCATTCGGTCCCACTTCGCAGCCATACATTACCTGGTAGGTGTGAGACCCTGCCCCCAGCCGTGCTCAGTCACACCTCCACACCCGACAGAGGGCGGTGACTGATCAGCAGCACCCTTCTTGACCAAACTTGAGAACCTAAGCCCGAGTCACTTTTCCTGGGTCCAGGGGAAGGATGCCTCCCACAGGGTGCAGCGGGGAGGCGTGAGGGCGATTCCATCTGGCTCAAGCGGCAATGAGGAGGGGTCGCGCCCGAGCTCGGGACCTGTGACTCACCGGCCTCACTATGGTTGAAATGGTCCAGCAGGTACTTCAGGTTCGCGCTGTAGATTCCCTTTATGTCGTTGGCCAGTGGGTCCCAGTACTTCGGCTTCACCTGCTGTACGCTCGGGTTTGTGGCGTTGCTGTCGAAGCGCGCGAACTGCGTGTCGTCCAGGTAGCCCACGGTGAAGAAGCGGGGCTCCCCGAGGCCGGGCCGGGACATGGCGGTGATGAAATACATCAGGGAGTGCGAGCCTGGGGGAGATTGAGGCGGAGACCCGGGCTGACCTCGGCCCGGAGCCGAACCTGAGCGAGAAGGGAGGCGAGAGCTAGAAGCCTCTGACAGGGAAAGGGGCGGCATGTGGGAGTGGGTTAGAGGATGAGGAGGGGATGGGGCGGCAAGGATCCCCACCCTAAAGGGGGTCGCTAGCTGGGGGCTCTCAGGGCGCAGCGTGCGCTCCCTTCGCTCCTGCCCCACAGAGCCCGACCCCCTCCCCGCCCCGCACCCACCCGCCGCGGTCTCAGGTGTTGTCGGGCTGCTAGAGAAAAGCAGGAGGAAGATCTGGACCACCAGGACTACCATTCTAGGAATCTGAGAGTTCCCGCCTCGGTGCACATTTTATAACCCCCGATCGATCGGCACTGATTGGTTCCTTCGGAAACCTCACGCCCAATGGGTGCAAGCTGAGTATGCGTCGCCAGTCTCCAGGCAGAAAGACCCGGTACAGATTGAGAGGGGGGAAGTGAAACTCGGGGGGAGGGGAGAGGGTTGGCACTTCCCCTGCTCTGCTTTCTAGGCTCCGAGGTCCGGACCGCAGATTGCCAGGGTCGCTGCGATGCGCCAGGCGCTCTTTCCTGGCCCTGAGAGTAAGTCAGCAATTCTCAAATGTTTAGGTTTCAGAATTTCCTCATAGCTCTTAGCAATGAATGAAGCCCTCAAAGGAAATCTTTCTGGAAGCTATGCTTATCAATACTTATAGCAAATTAGGGCCTCTCTAAGTTACTTAACAAGAATATTAATATTGATTCCAGTGCAGCAGTTTAGCGACTAAAAATAAACCTCTTTTAAAAAACATATTAACAGTGGTATACGATAACATTCTAGTGTGAATTTTGAACTTTCCAAACTAAAGAATGTAGGACAGATGAGTTTATTTTTAAATTTTTATTTTATTTTTATTTTGACAGGAAGAGATACAGAGCTAAGGATATATAGAGAGAGAGAAAGAGAGAGAATTATATATAGAGAGAGAAGATATATATATATAGAGAGAGAGAGACATACACAGAGAAAGAGATCTCCCCTCCACTGGTTCACTCCCCATCAGCTAGGGTTGGGCCAAGCCAAAGTCAGGAGCCAGGAGCTACATTTGGGTTTCCCATGTGGGTGCTATCTCCTGTCCAGCAGGATGAGTCCCCCAGACCTGGTTCTCATGTTCACCAATAGGAGTGGCAGCCCATCAAAGTGGTGTCAGGTTTCCCTAAAAGACCCACCCCCAGCCCTGGATATGCACTTTACAGGTGATACAGTGGTCCAGCCTGACAGGGCTTTGCCTCAGACCTAGCTGATGCAGTGGCAAAACCCGAACAACCTGCACCTACTCTGGCTCATGCATGCACCAGTGGATGCAGTCTCCTAGACCTAGCTGTCTCTCCTCCTGACCCAACTTACAACAGACAAACAGGTTTTGTAGCTCTGCCCATCTTTGTCAGCATCAAGTCCTAGCTCCCATGCACACCAGCTAGAGCGGTGTCTCAGTAGGAGAGCCCCTGCAGCTCCCCTACTGAGCTCACCAGCCACACTCCCCCAAACTCAGGTCTCACATAGGCTGGTGATACTGTGGCCCAGAAAGGCATGGCCTACCTCAGCTCAACATTTGCCAGCACGTGTTGCAACCTGGCTTGTCCCAGCCTGCCCCTAGTTCCAGTTCATGCTGGCAGGTGTTACAGCCTAGCCCAACCCAGCCAGGCCCTAGACCTGGCCCTAATGTGAACTGGCTGATATTGTAGCCCAATTTGGCCTATCCTGCATCTTGTCCTGGTTCTGATATCTGCCAATGGGTGCTATGAGCTGGCCCAATCCAGCCTGCACCTCCAGACTTGACCCACAGTTACAGCACTTGGTAGATACTATAACCTAGCCCATTCTGAGCTGCTCCAAGGCTCAGTTCTTGTAATCACCAGTAAGGACTGTATCTAGACTGAAGAGTTTCCCAAGCTCTTCTCTCAAGCCAACTGCCAGTGGCAGATTTTGCACATACCAGTGAGTGTTTTGTCTAGCCTGACTTGGCCGACCTCCTGTTCATCGGTAGGTAAAGTGGCCTTACTGAATTGACCCAAACCCATTCTAGCTCTTTCCAGTGAGTGCCATAACCCACCTCTGCCTGGCCTAACCTCGAAGCTGGCTCTCACATGATTCAGTGGGTGCTGACACTTAGCTAGCCCGTCCTACACCCAGTATGGCTCTCATGAGTGTCAGTGGGTACTGGAGCCTAGCCTTGTCTGGTATATCCCAGGCCCAGTTCACACCGATGCCAAGGGATGCTATAGCCCAATTTATCCAACTGAGTTTGCCACCTCCATTCCAGCTCTCACACTCACCAGTGGGAGTAACAGCCCAGCTGGGTTATCCCTTTAGCTCCCAACCAGGTCCACTCCTCACCACAGATCTTATACATGCTGGTTGTTGCTCCAACGTAGCAACTGAATAATGAATGGCATAATGAATCTCTTGTTTTAGCCTTTGCCATCAGGTGCTGCATCCTGGCCTGGCCCAAACTGCCCTCAGTTCCAACTCTCACAGGTGGGTTCTGCAATGTAGCCCTGCCCAGCCTGCCCTCCTCCCTGGTTTTCATGCAAACCAGTAGGTATGATAGCCTAGCCTAGCTTGGCATGGCCAGCACCCCATCTTGGCTCCTGTGCGTGCCAATGTGCTACGGTGTGGTCAAGCCTGTCAGTCTACCCACTGCCCAATCCCCAAGACCAACCAAAACACACACTATCTGACCAATGAAGCTGCTTGCCTGGCCTGACCAACATCCAGTCCTAACTCACTTGTTCACCAATAACAGCCACTAGGGGTTCCTCTGCAGACCCACTCCAAGAACCAGACCACATGCATGCCAGTGGGTGCTAAATCCTTACCCAACATAATCTGCCTCTCAAACTGGCCTTTGTGTGTGCTGGTGGATGTTATGGTCTGGCCTGCACCACACCCAATTCTTGTACACCTGTAGGTGCTGTAGCCTGGACCAGCCCAGGCTGTTCCCAATCCCAGTTCCAAGGAGTATTGGTGAGTTTTGTGGTCATGCTAGTTTAACCCATCACCACCTCCAGCTCTTGAGCAAACTGGCAGGTATTGCAGTCCTACAGGGCTGAGCTCACACATTCGCCGAAGAATCTGTCCCTGGCCCTGTTCTCCCACATGCTGGTTAGTGTCATGACCCAGTCTAATGTGACCCATTTCCTGTTCCAACACTCACTGGTGGGTACTGTGTTCTAGCCCTGCCAGGTAGAACCCCCACCCCCACCCCATGCTAGATTCATGAGCACTAGTAGTTGGCAGTGGTCAGTGTTTTTTAGCCCAGCTCAGATCTCCCACGTGGGCAGATGCATTTATTGTGTTGATCCAGAAAGGTCCTCCAGTTTCCCTCCTCCAAACTTCTCAGTCTCAGCCTTCTGGCTTAACTGCAAGTATAGGCAAGCCTGGTTGATGGAATTACCCCAGAATTTATTCCTCACCTGTAATGTACTCCCTAAGCGGTTCCCCTCCCATACATCCTCATGCCCCTTTCCTGAGCAACCCACAGCCCCCATGCTGATGAACAAATGGGCTCCTCAGTCTGGTCTGCTGGTGGGGTGCCATCTGGCCTGGAGCCTTAACCACTTGGCTTCCAAGTGCATGCATATATCTGCAGCCCTGGTCTACTGGCATGATATGCCAGCAATCTGGCCTGGGACCCTGTCTCTCCAGCCACCTGAGATCCAAGCATGTACAGGAGTCCCCAGGCCTACTCCGACACCAGACCCAGGAGAAGCCGGACCCATCCTTGCTTTATCTTTTTTTTTTTTTTTTTTTTTAGATTTTTTTTTTTTAATTGCAAAGTTAGATTTACAGAGAGAAGAATAGACAAAGAGAAAGATCTGCCATCAACTGGTTCACTCCCCAAGTGGCCACAGTAGCCAGAGCTGAGCCAATCCAAAGCCAGGAGCCAGGGGCTTCTTCTGTGTCTCCTGTGTGGGCGCAGGGTCCCAAGGCTTGGGCCATCCCCTACTTCTTTCCCAGGCCACAAGGAAAGAGTTGTATTGGAAGAGGAGCAGCTGGAACTTGAACCAGTGTCCACATGAGATCGCAGCACTTGTAAGGCAAGGACTTTAGCCACTAGACTACCACTCTGGGCCCTTACCTTACCTTTTTTTTTTTTTTCCCAAGATTTACTTATTTTTATTGCAAAGGCAGATATACAGAGAGGAGGAGAGACAGAGAGGAAAATATTCTGTCCAATGATTCACTCCCCAGGTGACTACAGTGGCTGGTGCTCAGCCAATCTGAAGCCAGGAGCCAGGAGAGTCTTCCGAGTCTCCCAGGTGGGTGCAGAGTCCCAAGGATTTGGGCCATCCTCAACTGCTGTCCCGGGCCACAAGCAGGAAGCTGGATGGGAAACAGGGCTGCCAAGATTAGAACTGGTGACCATATGGGATCCTGGAGCATGCAAGGCAAGGACTTGAACCACTATGCTATCGCACCGAGCCCTTACCTTATATTTTAATTGTATTTTCCACAAACCTTTTACAGTCCTGTCTCACATAGGAATAAGAGCTTAATAATACTTGAGATAGTAACAAGCATTTGTATTTAGTACTGCAGTAATACAAATGTTGGCTTCTTAAAGGTTATTTGCAATGTGAAACCTGGAGCACTGTTGAATAGTTTATGCTGTGTTACATTAAAATTCACAGATTTTGAGCCTAGCACGGTTGCCTAGCGGCTACTTGAAAGTGCTAGGATCCCATATGGGCACCAGTTTGTATCCTGACAGCAACCACACTTCCCATCCAGCTCCCTGCTTGTGGCCTGGGAAAGCAGTTGAGGATAGCCCAAAGCCTTGGGACCCTACATCCAGGTGGGAGACTCAGAAGAGGCTCCTGGCTCCTGGCTTTGGATCGGCTCAGCTCCGGCCATTGTGACCACTTGGGGAGTGAACCATTGGACAGAATACCCTTCTGTTTCTCCTCCTCTTTGTTTTTCTGACTTTGCAATAGAAATAAATAAATCTTTTAAAAAACATCTACAGGTCTTGTACATTCTACACATTTTGTGCTAATACATGATTTTTAAGAAAGTGATGCATTTTTCCTCAGATTACATAATTTTCAATGTTGACATGTATATTTACACATTATAAAAATCCATATTATTGACATTGTCACAGATTCTGCGAGAACCCATTCTAAG